TAAATATATTATTAAATATTTTATAAATATATTATTAAATATTTTATAAATATATTTAATATTTTATTAAATATTTAATATATAATTTAATATTAAACATACTTATTTAATAATATAGAAATAATATTTATTTAATTAAATAATTTTTAATATTTATTTAATATATTATTAAATATTTAATAAATATATTTAATATATTATTAAATATTCAATATATTATTAAATATTAAATATATATTTAACAATATAGAAATAATATTTATTTAATATAACAAATATTTAATATTTATTTAGTAAATATTATTTACTATATTTATTTATATATATATATATATATGTACATATATATATGTATATATATGTGTAGAAAATGAAGTTGGTATATATATAAGTGAATTCAAATATTTAACATAAATTGTGGTAGACCAAGTGGCACACATACACCCTTTATAGGTTAGGGGTTGCAGGTTCGAATCCCCTCCTTGCAGTGTTTTTGCTACATTTCCACGTAAGTGATGACTTGCCCCGTCAGCTTTCCGTTAACGGACGTTAAATCCGTGTATCAAGTTGCCATTTTTGCTACATTTCCACGTAAGTGATGACTTGCCCCGTCAGCTTTCCGTTAACGGACGTTAAATCCGTGTATCAAGTTGCCAAAAATTTAAAGGTTGTGTATTTTCCTGCCAAGGTTTGAAAGTTGTGATTAAATGGCCAATCAAGTAAAAGTCGTGTATTTTTCTGCTATTAAGCCATTTTTATACATATGTTTATTATGTATATACAACAAAAAAATAATATAAAATATTACACAAATCTATTAACATTATTAATGTATTTTTATAACATAAATAATAATTAATATATTTTTAGAATAGAAATAATAAAATTAGCTTGATTATTTAGGTTAGTTTGATCAACCAACAAAATAACTCAATTATTTCGTTTTGATTTCAGGGTGAATCTGCACAAAATAATAATAATAATAAATTTTTATAATAATAAATAATAATTTATTTCAATTATTTAGGTTAATTCGATGTACAACTATATCTACTAAAATATTGTTTTCAAAAACACATAGTTTATATGCGATCATATACATTAGTACACTTTATATATCGGCAGGATGCACTTTATAAAACAACGCTGTGCACTTTATAAAAAAACACGTTGCACTTTACCGAAAGTACAATACTTCACTGTATATTTCAACACGTTGCACTTTATAAAATTATGCCTTCGTGGATCTCTTTGAGTATGTACTCAAATGTGTCAATGAGAAAAGTGCCGAGTACATCCTCAAAGAGATCCACGAAGGCATATGCGGGAACCACTCCGGAGGATACGCCCTCGCCCACAAAGTCCTCAGGCATTACTACTGGCCTAGCCTGAAGAAGGACGCCCTGGACATGGCTCGAAGGTGTGCAAAGTGTCAAACCTTCGCGCCCAACGTCATTCAACCTTCCTAAGCCCTGAAGTCAATTTGCAGCCCGTGGCCGTTCGCCAAGTAGGGTGTAGACCTGATCGGCCCCCTACCCACTAGAAAGGGCGGAGTGAAGTATGCCGTCGTCGCCGTCGACTACTTCACAAAATGGGCAGAAGCCGAGCCGCTTGCCACCATCACCGAACAGAAGATGATCGACTTCCTATGAAAATCCATCATATGCCAATTTGGGGTGCTGAACACTATAATCACCGACAATGGAAAACAATTCGAAGGGAAGAAATTGGAAGCATTTTGCGAAGAACACGGCATCAAACATTTCTTCTCGACACCCTACCATCCCCAATCGAACAACCAGGTTTAAGCTGTAAACAAGATAATCAAACAAGGACTCAAGGTCCGGCTTGAAGCCGTAAAAGGAACCTGGCCGGAAGAACTCCCAAGTGTACTCTGGTCATACCGCACCATAACCAGATCATCCACTAGAGAAACACCGTTCTCCTTAGCATATGGATCCGAGGAGATGATACCGGTCGAGCTCGGCGCCCCAACATTTCGGGTAACCAATTTCGAGGAAGAATCCAATTCCGAATCACTGAGAACAAACTTGGACTTAATAGACGAGCACCGGTCGCAAGTCGAACTCAGAAATGCAGTGTACAAGAGGCAGAGTGAAGGATATATCAACTCCTAAGTCAAACCGCGCTCCTATCTGGTCGGCGATTTGGTACTAAAGAGAGTGACGGGGCCCGATCCCGGACCCCTCAAACCAAAGTGGGAGGGGCCTTATAAATCAGCGAGGTCCTCCCGCATGGGGCCTACCGCTTGAACACCTGGACGGTACTCCCCACCAATATCCCTGGAACTCGGCGTTCTTGAAAAAGTTCTACCAATAGGTCCGGTTTCATGTCAGTTTTGTAATAGTTTGTTTTGAAGATGAATTGATAAATCTTGTAATAAGTTAGTTTTGTAATAGTTTTTAGCAAGTAGGTAGCTTACGCTTATATCGAGTCGAAGCGGCATAACTAACGTAATAAGCAAATGCGGGTCGGGCTCAGTACCATACCTGGCCGAGGCAAGCAGGGCTCAACTAGGTAGCCCGGTCAGGCCAATAATACCACCGAGTCCGAACATGAGACCGGTCAGGTAAGCTGCCATGTGATAACCAAGTGCAGGTCGGTTCCAGTACGATGGACTGGCCGGCACGAGCCGGGCTCGGCAAAGTCGCCAACATAAAAATGACATTAATACACAAATGTCGAGCTCAACCATGAGACTCGACTAGGCCAGACCGCCGTCCGATCTAACGAAACAGATCGGACAGGTAACGCACCCAAGTAACAAACAAACGCCGAGTCCAATCACGAGGCTCAGCCATGTGATAAACAATAGCCGAGCCCAATCACGAGGCTAAGCCAAGTAACAAACAAGCGCTGAGCCCAACCACGAGGCTCGGCCAATTAATAAACAGAGTGTCGATCCCCATCGCGAGGCCCGGCCAAATAACATACAAGCGCCGAACTTGACTACGAGCCTCGACCGAGTAATAAGAAAGGTACCGGGCTCAACCAAGGAGCCCGGCACCCCGACCAAACTTTAAGTTTGGCAACCTATTTAAAGATGAACAAAGGCGGAGCAGCCAAATCAACCGCTAACGTACATAACCAAAAAGCGTAAAGATCTCGGTGATAATAAAAAAGATCATTCATTCAAAACAAATTTAAACCATTCAATGATACAAAAAGCTGATATTCAAAATAAACATTGTTCAAAAGACCACATACGGTCACAAAACGGCTCGCAGGCCGGAAAAGATAAGTTATTTGCTAGGAGACGGGTCAGAGGATAACTCTATGATAACCGGGTTGGGGGAAGCGACGGCAGCCTTCTTCTCAGCATCCGGGTCGGCCTCCTTCTCGATTTCCTGCCCGGTCTCCCATGCATCCTTGTCAGCCCCAGATGCGCCAGCCTCATCGTCATTTGCCACGCGCAGAATCCGGAAGGGGTCGGCTGCGTCCGCAAAATTCCTTGTCGG